AGCAGCCGATCCGGCGGAGGCGCCACCAGCTCCGGTGCCCAAGTCTCCCCCGATGGCTGGAAGCCAGAAGTTCGAGTGCTTCGAACCCTCCTCAGAAGACTGGGACTCCTACCTGTCCAGGTTCGAGTTCCATCTGGAGACCCACGACATCACCGATGAGGCGAAGAAACGGGCATGCCTCCTGAGTTCCTGCGGGAAGGGGACCTTCGACATAGCCAGGTCGTTGGTGGCCCCAACTGATATAAAGACTGTCACCTACGCTGACATCACGGAGAAGCTTAAGGCTCACTATTCTCCACAACCGTCGGAGATCGCCTGCCGGCACGCTTTTTACAAGCGGAACCAGGCCGGAGGCGAGACCATCGCAGATTTCGTGGCGGCCCTTCGCAAAGCCGCACGGCCATGTAATTTCCACAACGTGGAGGAAGCCCTCAGAGACCGTCTCGTCTGCGGTCTCAAAGATGAAAGGCTGCAACAGAGGCTGTTCGCCCGCACCACCCTGACCTGGGCAGTGGCCTACGAAGAGGCCGTGGCCGCGGAAGCAGCGGAGAAGTCCACGAAGGAGGTCCGCCAGCGGGTGGCAGAGCCCAGTATACACGCTCAACGAGACAGCGAGGGCGAAGACGCGGATGATGACGTCAACGCGGTTCGAGGCAAGCGGACCCCAGCGAAGACTACCAACGTCAAGCCTTGCTCCGGTTGTGGCGGGAAACACCAGCGCGACTCCTGTTGGGCTCGTGATGTCGACTGCAGAGCGTGTGGGCGGCGTGGTCATCTGGCCAGAGTCTGCAGATCAGCGAAGAAGGATCCCTCAACTAACAACCGGTCAGCGCAGAGGGGCACTCCAGTCAGCACCCAAGGCAAGACCCGTTCCTCAGCATCGGAAGCAAGCTGCCAGTTGACGGCGACCTTGTCGAGCGCATCGGCCGTAAATCGCACCAGCAGCCAGGGCAAGATCACCGTGACTCCACTCCTCGACGGCCGACCCTGTACAATGGAGGTGGACTCAGGATCGTCCGTGACGGTGATTTCTGCCGCGTCCTGGCGCCAGTTGTTCCCGAACCGAAGCCGGCGGCGGCTCCAGCCTGCGGGAACCAGAGTGTCCGACTTCCAGGGCAACCGAATTCCCTTGGCCGGACGGGACTCTGTTACTGTTGAGTATAAGGGGAAATGTGTTAAACTGTCATTCCTGATTGCAGAGGGAGACCGGGTTAACCTGCTAGGGTTAGATTGGTTTGAGCCATTGGGCATTGGTATTTCTGGGATTAACAGGATGTCTGAAAATAAATGGGGCATGCTGTACGACCTGTTCCCTGATGTATTTGCCGAAGGGTTGGGGAGGTACAAGGGCCCCCCGGTTGCGTTTGACTTAGATCCGTCAGTCAAACCTATTAGGTTGAAGTATCGGAAAGTACCTGTGTCTCTCAAACATAAGGTGGAAAAAGAGATTGACAAACTAGTTGAGCAAGGGGTTTTAGAGCCAGTACCATACAGCAAATGGGAGACCCCGATCGTAACCCCTGTCAAATCAGATGGGTCCATACGACTATGCGCCGATTACAAATGTACGATTAACAAGGCGCTGCAGCAACATTCGTACCCGGTCCCGGTAATAAGCCACATTTTGGCTTCCCTGGGGGGTGGCAAGATTTTCGCCAAATTTGACCTGGCCCAGGCATACCAGCAGTTGCCTGTCACCCCGGAGGCTGCCGAGGCCCAAACAATTGTAACCCACCAAGGGGCTTTTAAAGTGAACAGGCTGCAATTCGGGGTCAACGTAGCACCTGGGATTTTTCAGGGCCTCATGGAACGTCTACTAAGGGGGGTACCTGGCACAGTGCCCTATTTTGACGACGTGCTGATTGCGGGCGGGTCTGAACAGGAACTACTGGACCGGGTTAAAGAGGTCCTCAGGCGTTTTCAAAATGCCGGTCTCAGAGTTAAGCGCTCAAAATGCACGCTCGGGGTGGAAAGTGTGGACTTCCTGGGGTTTCGCATTGACGCAGAGGGAGTCCACCCCACGGATGAGAAGGTATCTGCAATCCAAAACGCCCCCAGGCCGGTGAGTAAGAAGGAGCTCCAATCCTTTTTAGGACTCCTGAATTTTTATCATGCGTTTTTACCGCATAAGGCATCAGTGGCGGCCCCTTTGCACGCGCTTTTGCACAAGGAGGCAAAATGGAAGTGGGGGCAGGCCGAGGAAAAGGCTTTTGTGGGAGTCAAGGAGCTGCTGACATCTAATGCCGTACTCACGCATTATGATGAACACAAGCTCCTGGTGTTAGCTGCTGACGCTTCACCTTTTGGAGTAGGCGCAGTTTTAAGCCATCTGATGCCTGATGGGAGCGAAGCGCCTATCGCTTTTTATTCTAGATCACTATCTGCGGCAGAGCGGAACTATGCCCAGATAGACAAGGAGGGTCTGGCGTTGGTAGCGGCTGTCAAAAAGTTCCATGATTTTATTTTTGGCAGACGATTTTTGCTGGTCACTGACCACAAGCCGCTACTGGGGATTTTTGCGCCCGATAAGCAATTGCCAAACATCATGTCCCCACGCATGCTTAGATGGGCGATATTTTTGCAGGCTTATGATTTTGACTTAGAGCACCGGCCTGGGAAAGCGATTGGGCATGCGGATGCCCTCAGCCGGTGCCCGGTGCCGGACATTGGCGCAGACCCTGCCCCCGCCTGTGAGGTCTTGGCAATTGAGGAGCTTCCTCGACCCCCGGTATCATCCAGGGACATTGCAGCACACACGGCCAAGGATAGCGTGCTGTCCCGAGTATTAAACTGGGTTTGGAGGGGGTGGCCGGTTGGAAGCGTTGAACCGGAGTTCGGCCCTTACAAAAGCCGTCAAAATGAACTATCCATTTCTAAGGGCTGTGTATTATGGGGGAACAGGGTGGTGGTTCCTGACAAACTCAGGACGAGAGTGTTAGAGTCGCTGCACGAGGGTCACCCCGGTATGGTACACACCAAAGCGTTGGCCAGAGGGTATGTCTGGTGGCCGGGGCTGGACAAAGAGATCGAAGAATGGGTACGAGGGTGTCCCAAATGCCAGCAAGTCAGACCCGATCCCCCACAAGCTACACCCCAAGGCTGGGAGTCATCTGGTAAACCCTGGGCCAGATTGCATATAGATTTTGCTGGCCCTCTCCAAGGGCAAATGTTCCTAATTGTGGTGGACGCTATGTCCAAATGGCTGGAGGTCGTGCATATGAAATCGACCACATCACTTGCTGTGATCCATGCGCTCCGCCGACTTTTTGCCACCCACGGGTTGCCTGACGTCATCGTCAGTGACAACGGGCCTCAATTTGTGTCTGAGGAATTTAGGCTCTTCCTCACGAGTAATGGCATACGCCAAATGACTTCGGCCCCTTTCCATCCGGCATCTAATGGCCAAGCCGAACGGATGGTCAGGACGGCCAAAGAGGCCCTGGGTAAAATGGACGAAGGGGACTGGAGCCAGAGGCTGGGCTCCTTTCTTTTGCTGCAGCACACCACCCCCTGTAGTGCTACAGGCCGTAGTCCGGCCGAATTGTTAATGGGGCGGAGACTCACGACCCGTTTGAACCGAATGCACCCAGACCTCACTGAAGAGCAATCCGAGCGTACCACGGCGCAACCGAAGGTGCGCATGTTTGAAAAAGGGGACAAGGTTTTCGCACGAAATTATGCAAACGGGCACTTATGGCTTCCTGGGGTTATATCCGACTCTGTGGGTACTCGAATGTATGTGGTGCAGTTAGCTGACGGTCGAATATGGCGGCGCCACATAGATCAGTTAAGGAGACGTTGGGCTAGGGACAGCGCTGACTCTCCGACGGCTGAATCCCCTGATGTCGAGTGGACACCCCCAGAGCAGGCGGTGAGTACCGAAAGGCCCGGTACTGTCCCCGAGTCAGGGCAGAACCCTGTGTGCGGGGCTGAAATCCCAGTCGAGTCTGTGCCTGATCCAGGCTGTAGTGGACCCCACTCTGACCCACAACCTTGTCTGCCCGTGGAGCCTGCACCGCTCCGCAGGTCCCAGCGTTCGCGGCAAATGCCGACTTATCTGAAGGACTATGAGTGTAAATACTGTTGGAATAACTGATGTACAAAGGTTGATTGTATGTATGTAAATAATAAAACAATTGGGATGATGGCTTAACTTAGGGGGGAGGAATTGTAATGTATTGAAATGATTACATGAATCACCTCATAGGACTCCCATGTTAAGCTTCGAGCCAGACCAGGGCTCCTCTGAGCGAACTTCCTATTGGTCGCTTCGTAACAGCGACCAATCAGAACGATACCATTCCCTAGGAGGGAAAGACTCCCATTGGTCTTTATTCTAGCAATCTCATTGGTTGTTATTTGTAAATAGGCGTGGCTACATTAGCCCGGTTATGTTTAAAAGGAGCATAAGCTCCCACTGTTTTCTGTTCTGGTTTCTTACTGAGTTAGTGCTTGCTCGTTACTTCCAATAAAGCTGAATCACTTGCTGAATCACTGTACGAGTCCTTTGTTAGCGCGATCTAACAGAAGGCTGTCTGTTAGAGGATGTGCTCACTGATTCATAAGTGCCCCCCATGGATGCTAAATGTGGATGTCTATATTTCAGGGGTGTTTCCCCCCCCCTTTTGAATATACAGACTATATCCAGCAAGGTGAACCTTGTTATTAGGGAGACTATTGTATGCAAAAGGTTGTACTCCCCAATATTTAGGCTACAATATTGCTACAACATTTTGCTACAATATTGTCTGTGGTATACAGATATTTCCACTATTGGAGCAAACTATGGGCATCCTTCTAACTGCCCACTTCCACTGCTGCCCTTCTGCCCTTCATATTATTTATCTAAAACATTTATAAACCTGCCTTTCAGCCAGAAACTGGGACCCAAGGCAGGCAATAAGAATAAAACCAAATATATAATATAAACACAACCCCATTAAACTAGCTAGAAAGAGCAAATACTTAAAGCATTTATATCTTTTCTCTCTTATACTTACAACGCATGACTGTCCCTTTGGAAAGGATACAGGGGGAGAGTTTTGCTGACTGGGAAATATTGTCTTTCTAGTCCTCTGTCAGACCCACGGTGCATTCGTTCTGAGTAATACAAAAGAGAAGCACAACAGATAACATAAGAACATTTCCTATCAACAGCAGAAAAAAAGTAGTTGGCCAAAGTACTCTGTTCACTTGGCTTCCTTACCAAAAATCTTAGTTATAATTTATATTAAGTACAACATCCCAGACTCCTTTCATCTTGTTTTTTCTTCTTCTAATATTTAGAGCAGAGGTGTCAAACTCATTTGTTACAAGGGCCAGATCTGACATAAATGTCACTTTGTTGGGCTGGGCCATGTGTGCCATAAAACGTAATGCCAGGCACTGGAGATACAAACTTTATAAAGGACAGCAGCTAGTAAGTTCTGAGTTGTGTCCTCACTGCAAGGCCCCATGGGGTGGGAGGGGGGTGCAAAGGAAAACTGACATGGGTGGACTGGTGAGCCAGCAGTGTAGCACTGGGCAGATGCTCCCATGGTGTCTGGAAGGGGACAGACCCCTTTCCCAGCCCACTCCCACCACCAATGCTGTGAGCCCAGGCCCCATGGAGAACACAAAGCGGCTGGGTGTTGCAAGGTCCCCCTGCCCCCAAGCCACCATGGAAGGGGACTGGGAAGACTAGCTGAACTAATCCCCCAGCCCAGGTCTGAGGCCACGTTCACAGTGGGACACAGGTCAAGCAAAGCCCAATAAGCCAGAGAAGCCTGTGCAGCAGCTGCCTCTGGCCAAGGCAGCCAGACAATCCATGGTGGAGCAATGCTGGGGGTTCAAGCCAGAGATTGTCAGCAAGCCATGCCACCTCCATATGGTGGCAGCTGTCCCAGGCTGAAGGCTGCCAGATCATTTGTTGGGGAAGCGGGCACTATGCACACAAGGCTATGTGTGTGGCAGAGGTCCCAGGCCACCCAATGCCCAATATAACTAGAAAACTGCTAGATGGTCCATGTGGGAGGGAGGCCCAGCTACTGAGTCACATGCTTGGTGGCAGGACTAGGCCCCCAGTGTGTGGAAGGAACTGTCAAAAATAATCCACAAGGGCCAAAGCACAGCTGCCACATGGGGGCAATGAATATGGTGGTGGAGCTGGCTGCCAGCAGGTCCCAACAGAGAATTGTCTGACTGTCTTCACCACATGCAAATGCTGATCCCTGCAGCCATACGAGATAGCATTTCTGGAGCTGCAGACCAAGTGGAGAGGTATTAATATGACTTTAGTGACTCCCAACTTACCAGTAAGGCTGCCCCTGAAGTGAAGGGGTTCTGCTTAACCGCTGCAGATGAAGTTGTTCCACTGTGCTGAAGCTACAATCAAAGTGGCTCTGCCCCCCTGAGCAGCCTTCTGTTCTCTCCCTTGCACAAAGTCAGTTTGTGGATGAAATATTTGGATGAAATATAGGCTAGAAATGAGATAAATAAATCAGAGCAACCTAGACTAAAAGCTAATCTATACTTGCTTCCAAATTCTTCTTTGTTAAAAAAAATCACCTGGATATGCCTTTGTAATGCACATACTTGAGCTGCTCTGCTTTTAAAGATCTGTTTACCTAATCCATCCCCAGCATCTCTCACCACCATGCGGTAGCAGTGCATATGATCCAAACCATATAAAACACATACTGAAGTGCATGTGTGAATATCTGCAGTGGAAAAAATGTGGAAAGAACTACTTTTTGTGCCAAAACAATGGAATAAGAATAACATGGTGAAAGCGACATTCATCCAACCTTAACATGTGGCAGAATGAGGCTCTGTACCTTTATTTTTTAATGAATCATTGTCCCATTTTTTTTGCTTACAACTCATATACAAAAGCAGGTATAAGAATTCAAACACAACATTTTGTGCTACCTTAGAATTTTTAACTTGCTCTTTGAAACTGGGAACAACACTGATCCTGGTATCATATTAAACTATCTAAATGTATCATGAGAATTTAGTTATATTAATATCAGACAATGTAATCATTTCAATACATAACCAGATTCTTTTAAACAAACTCTGATTCATATTGAGTGTGTGTTTAATGTGATAAAATCCTCATAGGATGACTTTACCACATCATTCACATGACTAGGTATTTGTCTGAAATAGCCTCCATATGAACCCCAAAAGTGCCATTTATAGAAAACCAAGTTTCCAAAGTTAGTTTCTGTTACATTTCCCCCCATATACAAAAAAAGGAGTAAAATTCACATGAGGTTCTGGACTATAAATTGGAATTTAGTACCTTCATCTAAAAACAAGTTTTTATGTATGTATATGTATATACTGAATGATCCATAACAATATGTTTGAAATGGTTTACATATTTCAGAATAAAATGATAAAATAACAATAATGATATAATACACCTAAAATATAACAAAGATCAGAAGCACAAAAATTAAGCAAAACAAAAACTAGCAAAACATTCATAAGGTAAAAGACCTAACATAATTTTTAGTCATAAGAACATAAAACGATCCTATCCTAGATCCCAATAAGTCAACAGGCAAATAAAAGGAGAGGGGGGGGGTTTACAAAATTTTCACAAAGAAGAGTGCACTTACATAAAAGAGCTTGTAAAGAAGAACTCAGCTGGCAGACAGGTTAATATGAGAAAATATGGTTATTCTGGTGCCTGGATCCCAGTCTGTATAGACCTTTGTTGAAAATAACCATTCCTTTGACTGTGTCTGAAAACAGTCTGGCAGCCAGTGAAGATGAAGATCTGTTAAGCCTGGGAAAAAATATACTCCCTGTATCTCTTACCTGCTAAAAAACTTGTCATTGCATTTTGGTCCAGTTGAACCTTCCAAGACATTCCACACAGAGTATATCGCACCAATCAGAACTGTATATAACCAGACAATGGATAATTGCCACCAAATGATGCCTCTGGAGGGAGGCCACAGCTGATGTGCCATAGAAGAAATCATCTGTAAACTTGGATCTAATAGAATCTTCAAGCTGCAAAACTAGTTTTGAAAAAGAGGAGCTGTGGCTCAGAGGCAAAGCATCTGCTTAGCATGCAGAAGGTCCCAGGACTAGGTAGTAGGTGATTTGGAAAACCTCTGCCTGAGAACCTGGAGAGCCACTGCCACTCTGAGTAGACAATACTGATCTTGATGGACCAAGGGTTTGATTCTGTATAAGACAGCTTCATATATTCATAGGAGGTAAAGCGCAGTCCCATCCAGAACTGGCTAACTCCTCCAACCTCGCTTACTCTAATTAGCAACCAACAACAACTCAGTTTATTCTGAATTAGCATTAATGGCTTTGGTATGAATGAACATTGATTTAATGGCATCTTCTGAATCCCCCCCCCCGGATGAATTTATAGTCACAAAGCTACAGAATTGTGGAGCAAGTAATTTGAGTACTAGAGACAAAAATTGTCAGCACCCGTGATCTACTGTAGCAATCGTTTGTATGGGTTCATAGCAGGAATTAAGTTGACTTGTTGTAGGTTTTATTACCATTCCTGTCCAGTCGTAGAAAAGGGAGAGGAATAAGAGAGACAATTTAGCAAAGTGATGTTTAGGAAGTCTTCCAAATATCTTAGTGAGTCTTTAAAACAATATTCTTAAATTGTTAGTACTGCTCTGGGAGATTTTTTACTTAAGTAGCAACCCTCAGAAAGAATGCTGGCCTGTGAAAATTACAGAGCTAAGTGAAATTTCCCTTCTGTAATTGCAGCCCTTGAATATTTTATGTAATAAACTTATATTTCCAGTTAGTCCTTAGTGAGTAACGTCTTGTCTAATAAGCTTGTTTGAGTTTGTATGATAATATTTTCCTCTTTTCTTTGGCAGAGTTTTTAAAAAGCCTGGTTCTCTATATAGTAATGTTGTGAGAGGCTAGTGATCTCTGAATGAACACAGAATAACACACAACCCACACTTTGAAGTATCCCTCAATCATTTGAAGGCTGATAAGGTTCCACATAATATACTTGTTGACAAATTGGGAAAATGTGATTTGGATCCTATGACTGTTAGGGGCATCTGTAACTGGTTGACAGATTGCACCCAAAGAGTGCTTGTGAATGGTTCCTCATCTTCTTGGAGAGGAATGCTTATTAAATTTGGAGATGATACTAAATTGGGAGGGGTAGGAAATACGGTCGAAGACAGAGTCAGGATACAGGGTGATCTTGACAGGCTGGAAAACTGGGCTAAAACAAATAAACTGAATATCAATGGGATAAATGTAAAATTCTGCATTTAGGTAGGAAAAATCAAATGCATAATTATAGGTTGGGGGAGACTTGTCTTGGCAGTAGTACGTATGAAAAGGATCTAGGGGTCTTAGTAGGGGTCTTAGTAGACCATACACTGTACATGAGTCAGCAGTGTGATGTGGTTGCTAAAAAGGCAAATGCAATTTTGGGCTGTATCAACAGAAGTATAGTGTCCAGATCACGAGATGTGATGGTTAGGGTTACCACTTTACTCTGCTCTGGTTAGACCTCATCTAGAGTTTTGTGTTCAGTTTTGGGCACCACAATTTAAAAAGGATATAGACAAGCTGGAAAGACACTGTCCATCTTTGAAGATATGAATTGTGTTTAGTAGAGCTACTCATAGCCAGCACGAGAACGAGGTCTATACAGATACAAATGGGATTGTTACGTGAGAAAAGAACATTTTGACACCGAATTTTGACAAAGATTCAGAAACGAACTTGCAAAACTCGAGATGTTCGTCAATTTCACCTAAATTCACCTATGGAATAAAGAAGAAAATTATTACAGCTTCAGGAAATTTTTCCTTTGTTCTATGTATGTGTGAACTTCTTACAGCAATCACCCTTGGTTTGGAGTTCGTCATTATTAATTTGCTGTACCCTTGAATGACTGATAGCCTGGAGAGGAGACAACTGAGAGGTGATATGATAACCATCTTCAAGTACTTGAAGGGCTGTCATCTAGTGGATGGTGTGGAGGTATGTTATGTTGCTCCAGAAAGTCAGTCTGGTAAGAAAAAATATATACAGATGTGTGCTAGATGCCCAGAGAATAATACAATGACAAAAGAGACTAGATTAAAGTCATAACATTATTTAATGTCTAGTAATGGAAAAAAACCCACTTATTCGTTCATAGAAAAAATACAAACATCAATAAAATTACACATAGCAGTCTGCTCCAAACTCTCTCAGTAAATATCCTTCGAATAGTCTTGTATTCTCAAAAGCATTCTGCTCCAAATTCAATCTCTCTTTCAACACTTATTCTGGATATTTATGTGTTTCAGACCTCTAGTCTTTCCTCAGGAACAAATCCTATATAGGAATCTCACATTCAATGTTACCTTCAAGTTGACACCTCGATTAATTTACATTTTTGTTAATCTACTTGGGCAAGGTCTCCTCACTTATTCGGCCACGGAGTGCCTGGGGATGGGAAGGCAGAGCTGATTCAGGGTCCCAAATGAAAGCCGAATAAGATTGGCTTTTATTCAGAAGCACCTTATCGGCAGCTGAATCAGATTAGAGAATCTGATTCAGCTTAACTAATACCGAAAAAATACCAATAAGGTATTCTTCGGGTATTTTTTCAATTCAGCAAAGCTGAATGCACACCCATACTGTGGATATAGACAGGACAGACAATGGTGCCATCAAAGAAAAGATTAAGGAATACTCAGATTTATGAGCTACCTTCCCCTAAACAATTAAGACTGAACAGTTACTTCTCAAGAGTTAATCCTCCATTGCATGGCACTCCTCCTAAGAATGAATATAAGACACTGAGTTTTTTAAGTGACTCTCTTCAAGAGGAGCAACATCTGGATAATTAAGGTGGAAATGAAATTTCTTTTAGTCAAGAGAATAGTATTTAAACCTTGCTAACTTCCCAGACCCTGCTAATTGCAGATACTGTGAGCAAGATTTGTGTGAAATTAGAGGAGATTTGGGGGGAAATTCAAAGAGCAGGAATTAAAAACTCATGAGATGGGAAGTAGAATAAAATGGATCAGATGGAGGTGAAATGGGGTACCATTTCTTTCCCAGGCTTGAAATCAAAACTGATATTTCATTTAATCAAGAATTCATCCCAGTTTAGCCTGTATAAGGTCAAACCACTAATCAGTCCTTACAGATATTTACTTCTGACCTGGGGATCTAGGTACCAGAAACTATACATGTACAGAATTAATCTGATGGATCATATAGTTTTGAGGAAAAGTTTTAGAACTTGGAGTGTTATGCTTAATTTAGAACTTCTATGATTTTGAATTTTTTAATGTGTAGGACACTAATGTTGTCTCACTTTGGTATTTACCCTGCTGGGTTTTTTAGGAATCAAAATGTCAATCCTCTAATCTCTGGGGGGGGGGGGAACAGAGGATAAGGGAAGTGAGATCATCAGATGTTTTTGCGCAAGAGGGCAATGAGTCAACATCAGAGTTTGGATTTTGTGCCCATTGTTTCAACTAGGATCTGTTCTCAGTGGACCTCTGGTCTGATCCACCAGGACTCTTTGTATATGTTCTTATGATAGCTGCACCTTTTCTGCACAGATGTTATTTTGGTATTGCCATTTACAGATTTGGTATTACCATTTGCAAATTAGTACAGTAGCTTATACAACCCATTTAAATCCCTCATGTCCCTTTTGTGTGATTTACTTTATCCAAAATAATTTGAACAACTAAATTACAGGAAACAATCCTTTTTGTAAGAATCTTGAAATATCTTCTCCTGCTCATACTTTCTCATTACTTAGCCATGATAATAGGCAAAAACAGATTCTGAAGAGCATTATTTTTAACAGTAATGCTGATACAGGCCAAAAACTCTTAAAATAATCCCAGATGCATATCTCCCAGGATGCCCGATTTCGAGATAATAGGACTTTTTTTTTTTTTGCTAAAGATCTAGGTACTCTCATTTCTGCATTGCTGATGAAAGTCCTCTAAATTGGACCAAAATATATCAGAGACATCTAGAAATGTGTGCACAGTTTATTCTCCCAAGACAGTAGGAATTATAGTCCCTTCATACTGTAGTTACTTCCATATGAATTCCCTGTGCAAAACTCCAGTCTCTGCTTCTTTATTGGCACATTTATGCTATCTTTTGCGGGTTGTATTGTTTTGTTTCCGCCTTTTCTTTCGCCAGTTATGGTCTATTGCTACTTCCTCTTTCAGGGATCCACACAAATTTTAACCCTTTCCTGGATTCACATGCTTTCTTTATTTCCTTGTCTGATTTAAGGAGCTCTGTACCACCAGAATGAAGATGTTCCCACACTTAGCAGAAATTCCCTAGGTAACACAGGGAGCAAATTTTAATGTTAATTAAAGAAAGGCAGGAGCCAGGCTGCTCTCCATTATGTCCAGACCTAACTTTTGCAACTTTTAAGCTTCCCACTGCCTCAATGGACACAATGACAGGGAGGGGAAGAAGCAGAGATTTACTCTTCTGATCTCCACTGGGGAGAAAGGTGTGGTATAAATGAAGGAAATAAGTAAACAAATACTCTTCCATTGTGTCCAGGTCAAGTTCAGTTCTGGAAGAGTGCTAATTTTTTATTAACTTTTATATTTTATGATGATTTTGGTGTCTTGCCTTTGAATGTAGTCTACTTTGTGAACAGTGCTTTTGAAATACTATACAAAATTTATGCATAGATAGATAAATCATCATTATATGTTCTACCATTTCTGCAATTGTTGCTGATGCTGCAAACAGCAGGATACTGTGAGATCTATTCTGGAAAGGTGGGTTTTAAATAAACAAATTTATCTTTTGGAGATCTTTTGTTATTTACACTTAAAGATTCTGGATGTGACCTCAAGGACAGTGAATTCCTGTTGTTCCCACAGTTGTTAACTGGAAGATAAAGGTCTCCAAGAATGCCACTTTATAAGTCCTGAAAGTATATGTTCAAAAAGACAATTCCAATCTAGGGGGGGGGAGTGTGATCCATCCTATTTATCTTTCTATAGTTCTTTGATGTTGATTTTCTGGTCTACACTCTAATATTCTAAGCAAATGGAACACTTACCTATTTCTCATTTTTTAAGTCATCAAGGAGTGCTAGTAAGCCAGAAAATAAGACATAAATCTAAGTATAATCCAAGTAGATCTCCTTCTCTCATATTTTGTCTTCAGAGAAGCACTGTGCTCATTTCTTAAATTAGAAATTCAAAATTTATTGTGCATTCTTAAGTGGCTTCTAAATGTTCTGGTAATACATTGACAATAAAGAACTTCCATGTCCATCTACTTAATACAGAAGGTGAGTCAGTAGCACAAGAAGATGTAGCCTTGGGAGAGCAAAAGCTGGCAGAGAGCCTTCTGCTACATCTTATTATTCTGATGAGGTGATTAAATGTAAAACTGTTACTGTGTCATTTTCCTAGTTGTTTCGTTATGGATTCAGGAAGAGTAGCAAGTGTTTAAGGAAAAGTAATAGGGAGATGTTACTTTTATAAATCCTGTCCTTATATATAAATGTGTTTTCACATGGCAACATTCTATGCGCGGCAAAATCAGTTGGTCCTCTCATCTGCCAACCAGAAGGTCTCCTGAGTCCTGCCCACAGAACCACTGCCCACCCAAATTCGCCTCACAACAGTTTCACCTCAGGAGAGAGGATGCCTTCTTGTGTGCAGCCTTAAAGCAGCAGTGACCCTGTTCCAGCAGCCACTTTTTGTGCCTGCCTTTTGAGGCAGCAAGTGGAGGGACAAAGAGGGGCCTCCCCCTCCTCCAGGGATTGCACCCACCTGTCCAGGAAGGAAAGGTGAGGTGAGGCACTGGGACAGGATGCATTGAGGCCTACCACGGCAGCAGACGGCGGTCAGATGGCCATTCAGCAGGCCCCTGAGCAACCACCACAGCAACAAAGAGGGGCCTCCCCCTCCTCCACGGATCCCAGACAGGCCCGCCCGCCTGTCTGGGAAGAAGAGGTGAGGCGAGGCGAGGCTCTGGGACAGAACAGATTGGGGCCTACTGCGGTGGCAGGCAGATGGCCGAACAGCCATTCGGCATGCCCCTCATTGACCACCACAGTGACAAAGAGGGGCCTGCCCCTCCTCCAGGGATGCCTCCGTCCACCCACCTCCGCCCACCCACTGGGAAGGAGAGGTGAGGCAAGGTGTCAGGACAGGATGGACTGGGGCCTACTGCAGTGGCAGGCAGCCAGGCAGCCATTGCCCCAGCCCCTAAGCAACAACCAGAGTGAAAAAGAGGGGCCTCCCCCACCTCCAGTGATGCCTCCGCCTGCCTGTCCGGGAAGGATAGATGAGCCAAGGCAGTGGAACAGGAGGGATCAGGGCCGACCCTGGTAGCAGGCGGCCGGGCTGGCGGGTGTTGGCCCAGCCCCTGAGGATAAGCAAAGAGGAGGCCTCAGAGGGCTGAGCCAGTAAGACCACAGCCAGGATGATTCAAGGTCCCCCAGGAGGACTCTCAGTTAGACTGTGGGGGGAAGGGAGGCTTCCTGTAGCCAACGGGGGCCAGAGGGGCCAAAACGGTTGGGGTGGGTTTCTCTCAGGGGAGCTTCACTTTACCTCCCACCCTGCATCTCCTGCTGCAGACCCAGATCTGAGCCAGCTTGCCTCCCCCCCCCGGTCTTTGGTCTTGGAACAGGGGCAGTGGGGGCTGGTGTGTCTTCATGTGTTCTAAGGGACGGTCAGTGTTTCACAGGGGTCCCTATGGGGTTCATTCTCCTCCTCAACCCCGAGAGCCTGGCTTTTGGGGAGGGGGCGGCATGAAGGGCCTTTCTTTGCCTAAGATGCAGTCCTCCTGGCTTCATTTCATTCCTGCAAACTTTTTACCACATCCTCAGAACTTTAATGCTCAGTTAAAAGGGGCTCATCTTGAAGGTGCCCAGTTTGCCTGGGCATCCTGGAGGTTTCTGGCCATCTTCAGGGCATGGATCAGGGATCAGTGGGGGAGGGGGGGGGTTGGACTAGATGACCCTGGAGGTCCCTTCTAACTCTATATATCTCTGTGATTCTCTCTCTCTCTTTCTGATCACCCCACTCTATTCGGCACACAGAGGCCATCAGTATGGCTGCAGCATCAGGCCACGGGGTTCTGATTCTATGTTGGGCAGCTGCACATGTTCTCCCACAAAGGGGCACGGGGTCTGATTCACTATAGAGTGGCTCCATGTGTTCTCTCCCAACAGGGCCAGGGGGTCTGATTCAGTATAGAGCATCTCCATGTGTTCTCTCTCTTACAGGGCCTGGGGGTCTGATTCGGTATATGGTAGTTCCATGTATTCTCTCCCAATACAGCCAGGGGTCTGAATCAGTGTTGAGCAGCTGCACACATTATCTCACAAAGGGGCCAGGGGTCTCATTCACTGTACAGTGTCTGATACACTATACACTATACATACTATACTCCATGTGTTCTCTCCCTACATGGCCAGGGGACTGATAAGTTGACTGAAGTTGTGTCCATGCAGTGCAGCAGGAGAGGCAGTCCTGCAGGACTGTGGATTAAACCCAGTTACCTCTGCAGAACAGGAAACATTAATAGACACTTTGGGCACAGCACACGAAAACTTTACACACAAGGTCCCAAATGTTTCAAAAATGCAGCATCCATCCTTGATGGCTAACATCACTTTGTGCTTTACTTTCTACAGACAACACTTCTGATTCAGAGAACCACAACAATCTCAGGAGACTAAGACAGCTGTGAGAAGACGCCCATACATGTTACAGGACCAGGTCAGTGCACAAGACATGGGCAGAATGTTCCAGTACAACAATGCCCTCCTGCACATTTCTGTGCATCATTCCCAGAATGTGGGAACAAGATCTTTAGACAACACAATCCACTGTTTCATAGATTCAGCATCCATCCTTACAGAATAACATCACTTCATGCTTTACTTTCTACAGACAACACTGCCGATTCAGTGGACCTCACAACTCACAGGAGACTGAGACAGCTGTGAGAAGACATGCTGTTCACGTTACAGGACCAGGTAAGTAGACAAGAGATGGGGGAAATGATCCAGTTCAATAATGCCCTCTTGCGCATTTCTGTGCACCATTCGCAGAATGATGGTCCTCTAGGCACAACACCTTTAGACAAAACAATCCAATGTCTCATAGATGCACCATCCATGATCGCTAACATCACTTCATGCTTGGTCGCTAACATCACTTCATGCTTTACTTTCTACAGACAACACTTCCAATTCAGAGAACCACAACACTCACGGGAGACTGAGGCAACTGTGAGAAGACATACCATACACGTTACAGGACCAGGTAAGTGCACAACACATGGGGAAAATGTTCCAGTACAAGAATACCCTCCTGCACATTTCTGTGCATGCTTTGCAGAATGATAGTAGTGTGGGAGCCTTCCTGGACTTCTCAGGCATGCTGCTGCACAAGACGGGAGCCATCAAAGAGTGTGTACATTACATTACAGAATTTCCCACTTTGCATTGAGGACCTCTTTTTTCATACTTCTAAATAGTCCTGATCTGTTGATTGCAGTTGTGACCATGCAGTCCAGTAGGAGACGCAGTCCTGCAGGACTGTGGATCAAACCCAGTTACCTCTGCAAAACTGGAAAAATTAATACACACTTTGGCCACAGCACACAAGATCTTTATCCAAACCAACCCAATGTCTCATAGGTGCAACATCCCTCCTTGGTGCCTGACATGACTTCATGCTTTACTTTCTACAGACAACACTTCCGATTCACAGAACCATAAAAATCACAGGAGACTGAGACAGCTGTGAGAAGACACACTGTACATGTTACAGTACCAGGTAAGTGGACAAGACATGCGGAAAATTATGAGAATATTGGGACTTCCATGTTTCTCACTTTCTACTACATGCTGCTAATATGTACTTCACCTGCTTCCAGACACTGCATTCTTTACACATAACACCTTTCTAGAGCTCATTGTATTGCGTCTACAACGAGCTTCACTACTAGTCCATCATAAAAGTCAAAGGTAAAAGATAATAAAATATACTGGATGTGTTAGAATGTAGTGGTTAGTATAACATAGAGTTTGAATTTCATCTTTTTTCTTTTCTTTTTTTTAAAAAAATAATGGTTTTTAGTCCTTGAAACCTCAAAAGTAGACTATGCCTTGTTAATATCTCAGAAGCTGAGTGAACAGTGGCTGTGTAAGGTTTCCTATTTGCAACTATTCTAAGCTTTATGCTCCTTCCTAAGGTAAGCGTTAGTAAAATAAATTTGCAAAACCAGCAATACACTCAAATTGCTTAATATCCATCATTTACATAGGGCACATAATCAGCTTTTCCTGATGAAAAATGTGTTACCTTGGTGCAGATTTTTAATTTGTTCAGTGCAAAATTTACACAAGTATTTGTGGACATGTGTTTTGCATTTTAATTAGAAAAATCTGGAGATAGTATATTTATATTCATAAAAATATTGCTGAATGACACACACATTAAAATCAACTTCAGATCTAATTATTTTGATTGCCTCTTAGTAATTATTGTTTCATTAGTAAATGTAAGACTTGGTTTCTGTTGCATATGCAAACATATACTCTAACTGTCCCTCTTTACCAGAGGAACTACCTGTCCTCTGGTAGTAATCCCTGAAAAAACTCTGTCATATTTTGTCCATTTGCTTCTTGGAGATCAGTTTGAAAACTTTGATAGTGTGTACAGATATGCATTAGAGAACATCTACTTGTCTTTCTTCCACACCATCTGCATAACTACCTATCCAGATAGCAATGTTGACAAATGATTAGCAGGTATTCTATGTTAAGTACAGTCAGATCCATCATGGGATAAGCATCCTTAAGCTTTTAGAATATGAAATTGCTGTGGCCAGTTTACTAACACATTTCAGAACTAACAAAGAGCTGTCATGAATTCAGACAGAGAAGTCTCCAGAAAAGCATAGGTAAGCTTTGTGTGCTGTAAGAATACATGAGTGTTTCTCTTTTCGGCTGTGAAATGTTGGAGGATATGCATGAATAAAGATACAGGCTGTCAATGCCAACGTCTACAGAGATGATGGCAGATTGCCATTCTTTTCTTACAAAGATCCAGTGCCTTTAAGAGTTTTCGTTATTATCATAAATTCAACAAATACTGCTTTCACTATCATTAAAAAGTAGCCCTTAGATTGAGAGAGAGGGGCCAAGTTGTAAATTCATCCCAACTACCATTTGACCCCTGTGTGGAAATAATTTCAGGTGTCTATTATAAAATTATATATTTCCAATATGTTTATCTTATGAGTCTGAGTGCTGATAGTGTTACACCCTCACAAACACGTAAAGATACACCCCTTCTTTGTACCAGGCAGTTAGCTGCTAGCATCTTAGCTTATCTGAACTGTAGTGGCTGGATGACTGGTGCAAGTGAGGCAGAGCAGGCTGTGGGTGAATGGGGTGCACCTGACAAAGTATTATATCACACAGACTAGAAAAACAGAGGTATGGGCTGAGCGAGTAGTGGGGCCATGGGGCATTGATGGTCCTTACCCTCCATGGAATCAAAATGCATGGCCCTACTATCAGTCAGTCACAGGCAAATTAGCCAGTGGAGATGTTTTGGCCATCTTGGTCCCTAGTACTCCCCAGTTAGGAACACCGGATTTTTGGGCAAGCCTTTTGGTTCATTTGGGGTTGCTTATGCTTATGGTGAGCAGTCCTTACCTCTAGGTAATCATCTCTTGCCAGTAAATAAGATGAAAATCTGGCAGGGAGAATATGATGATCTATTCTTATTATTCAGAGAGCCAGAGCTGAAAGAGAAAGGTAAGGAGGATAATAAGGAAAGGAAGAAAATACGTATGAAGCCAGCTGATAGTACATGGGATAATTGGTTGTCTGCATCCGCTATTTACATGTTGGTGGTCATACAGGTCCAAACAGAAAAAGCTTTGGTTTATAAAATATTTGGACATAATCCACAGGGCCTACACTGAGTTGCAGGTTCAGCCTGGCTTCAATACAATGAGACTTTCAGGATGAGAGCCACCCTTGACCCTGAAATGACTTAGGACAGGGAGTATCAGCAGCTCTGGTCCCAATGCCTGAGCTCTGACAGGATGGTACTCTGATAGTGGTCACCTTATCTCAAACAGATCACTTGAGCCTTATATGGCTGGTGGCAGACAGCTGGTTCAACCCAAGCTGCTTTGATGGGAGTTTAACAGTGCAGGAGAGTGCACTAAAAAGCTTTGCTGATTTCACCATGCTTGCAAATGAAGCAGTGGCTCTGCATGCTGTAGATTTAGAGGTGGGTGTGGTGATGATGACCCAAGAGAAGGCAGAAGAGGTCCAAAATGTTTTGAAGCCCTAATACACTGTCTGGGGCATTAACCCAAATATACAGATGGTGAGTACCTGTCAAAGAATTTTAGGGTAGTTTTGTTTCCATATCCCATATTTGAGTCCAAGCTGTATTTATATGACTAGCAATTTAAAGACAATTGTAGGTTTTGAGTATGTGGTTAGGGAAAAATTGGAGAAGGATCAGAAAGAGGACAGGATAGTGGGGCCATTTATGTCTGTCCCTACGGAGAACTTCAGGGTACCTCTCTTTGGTTGTTGTCTCAAAGAAAATCCCTGGCGAGTACAGGATTATTCATCACCTGCCGTACCCTAGGTAAATCAGTCACTGATGGAATAACCGATGGTTACGTTTGGTTCAGTACGCTTCATTTGACATGACCATAGGCTTGGTGAATTCTTGTGGTAGTGGTGCACTCTTAGCTAAGTGTGACATTAAGTGTCACACTTAATCCTCCTTGTGCTCCTGGAGGATTTTGAATTGCTAGGTTTCTTGTTTAAAGAGCCGTACTAGTTTGACAAGGCATTGCCGATGGGATCTTCTGTGTTTTGCTGGAATGGGCCTTTAAGGAGAAAGCAGAATTGGACAAGGTGATTCACTGTTTAGATGATTTCCTCTTTGCAGACCCTTCAGGTTCTGGGGAGTGCTCTTGGCTGCTAGCTGTTTCTCGGATCTGGCTCCAGAGCTGGGTGTGCCTTCTGTGATGGAGAAGACCAAAGGCCCAGTACAGTCACTTATTCTTAGGAATAGAAATAGATGCTGAGCAGGAGCTGCGCCACTTACCGGCAGACAAATCTCACAAATTTCGCAGACATAGGGTCCTTTTGGAGAAGATATGTGGTAGTAGGAAAGTAACGCTTGTGTGGATGTCCATTGTATTAGGCCACCTGAACTTTGCCTGAAGGGTGGTAGTGCCGGGTAGGGCCTTTTCGTGGCATTAGGTGGGCTCACTGAAAGATTAGGGTGTCAGGGCAGATTAAGGCAAACACACACAAACTACATAAGCAGAGGTAGTTGCACTGGTGACATGGTGTTTAGAGTTGTATTTTAATGGCAAAATATATCTATTGGAGAAGCACTGGCGAACTAATGATGTGGGGCTTTTTTACCCAGGATAAATGGTCTCTTCCTTGGGTCTCTGGCTAATGTATAGGGGCAAAAATTCTGCTCACTAAGGTTGTTGTTGTTGTTCAGTCGCACAGTCGAGTCCGACTCTTCGCGACCCCATGGACTAGATCCTGCCAGGCCCTCCTGTCTTCCGCTGTCCTCTGAAGTTTGCTCAGTTTCATGTTCGTTGCATCGATGACACTGTCCAACCATCTCATCCTTTGCCGTCCCCGTCTTCTTTGACCTTCAATCTTTCCCAGCATCAGGGTCTTCTCCAGTGAGTGCTCCCTTCTCATTTGGTGGCCAAAGTATTTGAGCTTCAGTTTCATTATCTGGCCTTCCAGGGAACAGTCAGGGTTGATTTCTTTTAGGATTGACTGATTTGATCTTCTTGCAGTCCAAGGGACTCTCAAGAGTCTTCTCCAGCACCATAGTTCAAAAGAATGTATTCTTCGGTGCTCGGCCTTCCTTATAGTCCAACTCTCGCAGCCATACATGACTACTGGGAATACCATTGCTTGGACCATGTGTATTTTTGTTGGCAGGGTGATGTCTTTACTTTTTATCATGCTGTTTAGGTTCGCCATCGCTTTCCTTCCAAGTAGCAGGCGTCTTTTAATTTCATGGCTGCAGTCACAGTCTGCGGTGATTTGGGATCCCAGGAACGTGAAGTCTGTCACTACTTCCACGACTTCACCTTCTATTTGCCAAGGAGTGATGGGACCGGATGCCATGATCTTAGTTTTTTTGATGTTGAGCTTCAAGCCCACTTTTGCGCTCTCCTCTTTTACCCTGAGCAAGAGGCTCTTTAGGTCCTCTTCACTTTCTGCC